TTAAATTCTAATATTTCCCAAATTACAGTTTTTAATGCATTTTTGATCAAATAAATGCAGCCTTTGAACTTCCTTCCTTCCTTCAAAAAAAAAAAAAAACCCCAGGACATCCAGCGCTACCACTTCCTGAAAGTACTCAGATGTCAACCAAGCAGATTGTAACTGCAGATTTCAGCCAGCTCTTGCCAAAAACCAGATCTCCACCTGCAAACTCCCGTATGTTCACGAGCGAGAACACGGTCATACGGAACACTATGACTCCCGACTTCTTGACCTTCTGTTCAGGTTGTGTAAAAAACAGAGGAGAGTATTCTGTTAATGGCACAGCGTCTTAATGTTCTGTTACTTCAGACATGTTCAGTGACTACTCAAAGCCAACAATCAAACCATTATCCCTCCATCTGCAGATAAGAGACAAACAGAGCGACACACACAGGTGGAGAGAGAGAAAACGTGGGTTGAGCTGTCAGTCACTGATTAGCTACTGGATGGGAACCAGGAGGAAATAAGGATAGAGAGATGGAGAGAGAGAGAGAGAGAGAGAGAGAGAGAGAGAGAAGCATCAATGACCTTTCAGTGGCAGCTTTTACTCTTCCACAGAGAAAGAGAGAACTCACTCCCATCCATTATTGAATTCCTGAATCAGCTTCCCTGAATAATGGCACTCCGGTTGAAAGGCTCTAGAAGTATGTTCTCTTCCTCTGTCTCTCACTCTCTCTTTCTTATCCCCTCCGGCGCGCTTCGCTTCCATCGCTTTCAGCACGCCGGAGACTGAAAATGCCACGAGTGCCTCTGGCTATTCCTAATCATAGAAAATTACTCACCTCTGTCTTTGTCAGAGTGACCCGAGCGCTGTCACGGGCTTTGGGTGGCAGCTCTTCCATGAGCCGCTGTGATCAATATTTCAGCCGCAGACCGAGGCCTTCTGCATGGGAGAGCCGTTCCTGCCTCCTGACGGATGGGAGCTCTGGGGGCCGTGGGAGAGGTAATATTTAGACAGATCACAATGGTCCACCTGCAAATAGGGTTGTGTATGAGAGCAAACCAAGCGGAAAGACAGAGAGATGGAGAGTGACAGGAAATAGAGAGTAGGCTTGGGGGGAAAGTGGGCCTGGAATGGAAAATCAAGCAGCTGTGTTATACTGTTAATATGGTCACAAATAAAGGATCTACAACAGATTGCCTTACTGTTATTATAAAACAGAATAAATTATGACATACTGAAGTTAAGACATACATATGTGTGTGACACACATATGTGTGTGTGTGTGTGTGTATGAATGTATATATGTGTATATATGTGATCCTGGACCAGAAAACCAGGCATAAGGGTCAGTTTTGCAAGATTGAGATGTATACATCATCTGAAAGCTGAATAAATAAGCTGTATGGTTTGTCATGGATGAAAGCAGGGAGAGCAGTGGTAACCCCCATAGGGTAACACAACAGAACCAACATAAATGTATTGCAGAGATCATTAATGTTCAATAACTTAATGTACAATGAGGATGACACATTTACTTGCTGAAAAAATGGTTGTGGTAAATAATAAATGCAATTATTTATTGAACAAGTGTTTTTTTCTTTTATTCTTCAATTTTATAAAAGCAATAAGCCATTCAAGGCTGAACACAAAGTGTTTTTACCACAGCTAAAGAGGTTAGTGCCTAAAAATCAGTTTATTGCATTATTCAGTGACTGTGTTTGGTTGCGTGCCGTTACCTTCGGTCCTCTCCAACACAGAGCCCCCTAAAGCAGAAAGCTGCTGACATGTAAAGGCCAAACATTTCACATAATTCAAAATGACTCATTTAAAAATCTTCCTTCGTCATTTCTCATGAGTATACCGTACCGCAGAGGCCCAAGACACTTTCCCTGTCAGTCTGTCAGCGGACTCTCTCTCAGTTCACTCTCTCCACGGACTTACTTGTCACCCAATATCGGAGTGTCTGTGAAATCACCTTTTGTCCTTCGGTCTCTTTCCCCCGAAAGTGTCCTGATGTTTGACAGGACGGCTAAAAATACGCACCGAGCTGAACAATTAGCCGTTATAATGTCCCATAATTCCCCCCGAAATTTGCAGCAGCCAGGAGTGCTCATCAACACCTTGGACGTAGCGGTCAAATTGAATAATAAATGTTTAATGCCGGTTCGGTCGCAGTCAGTCAACAGTCAACAGACCGTGGCTGTGGGCAGGGAGACGACGAGGTCATTAACCCTGCCATTTGCTTAACAAGCGCTAATTACAGCTGACATTTCCACAGGGCGCTTCCGAGCGTCAGCTGCCTGGACTCATCAAGAGGACACGGTCATTCTTCACACACACACACACACACACACACACACACACACACACACACACACACACAAAAAAAAAATAAAAAAAGAGTACAATATTTAAGAAGCTTTCCACATGAGTTTTTAAATGTGGCCCATACCAAAAACTTATCCACACACACACACACACACACACACACACAATAATGAAATTAAAACAGAGTACCAACAGTTTAATAGAATCCAAAAATCAAATACACAGCAGAAAACTCCCACGTTTCCTCTTTTCTTTAAGGCTAAAAGCAGCATGGACTACAAAAGCACTGATTAAGCAAGACGAACCCAATGACTCGAGGATTTTGGCATTTTACGCAGAGAGGAAAACACAAAAGAGATCTGGTGTTAGCACGCGCCATGAAGCTGCTACAGAGACTCAGTTGCACTGCAAACTGTAAACACAATCATGACGCTATGAGCCGCATAAACCACAGTACTCTTCTTTTACATCTACATTATCATAAAACTGCAAAAAATTACTCTCTCCACAAGTAGAATGACTAATACAGGGAGAAGCACCATTTCTATTTGCAGACCCAAGGCAAATATTTGATCCTAAAATTAGAGTAGATTTTGAATAAATCAAAAAAGCAAGCAAGCATATCTTTCAAACACAGGCCCGATGGATGAAACGGATAAATGAAGGGAGGAATAATGCCAAGTGGGGAGCCCAAAGTGGAGAGAATGAAGAAAGCAGGAAATCCCAGGACAAGTCACTGGAAGGAGACAAATAACTTAAGACGTAGAGGACATGTCTATAAATAGACATGGCGGCCGTAACGGCAGGGCACTCACTTTGTCTTTTCTTTCTTAAAAAAAAAGAAAAAGAAAAAGAAAAGCAATGGAAACAAACAAAGAAAAAAAACACATCAAGTCTACCAACCACAGCTGACTCGCTCAAAATCAAAAGGGCAGAACAAATTAAAAAACAAAATAACATGAATTCATGAATAACATGAGTAAGATTCACAATATGGTAATACTCATTGTACCATATGCAGATCAAAAACCTGTGGTTTAATGTGTATTTGCAAAAACAAGTTATGAATGCACATGTAGGCAATAGATACAATCAGATGTGTTTGAGGAATCCAGACTTTTAAAACATTCATGATGAAAGATGCCCAGAAGAGTTAAAGTCAACATGAAACAGCATGTGCAACCAAGTGGAACGGAATATTCCAGAACAAAACGCAGGGTTGGACTTTAATATTTTATCCATTAGGAATTGATTGGATGATGGAAAGTGAGAGAATGAATGGATTGTAAAGGCCTCTTCTCCTGAAACACCATCAGATCCGACACTGCTGCAGAATCCTATCCTCCTTTCTCAAAGCCATTCTATTGGCCGAGACAGATTTATGGGTGCTCTAATAGAAATGATAGATGATTGCTTTTTAAGTGTACACTACCATTCAAACCCAATTTTGGAAGCAAATAAATGCTTTTATGCAACAATGATGTGTTAAATTGATCAAAAGTGACAGTAAAAATCTATAATAAATAAATGTTGTTCTTTTAGACTTCAACACTGATAATCATAAGAACTGTTTCTTGAGCAGCAAATCAGCATATTAGAATGATT